ACCATCTAGCCTGCCGGGCAGATAACCTTCTAGCATCAGCAATATAGGATAGATTCTTATGATCTGTTATAACCATAATTTTGTGTCTAGAACCCTCTAATAAGTACCTCCATTCCTTGAAAGCTAACACAATAGCTAATAGTTCCCTATTCCCAACATCATAATTCTTCTCTGAATCAGACAGCCTTTTAGAAAAATAACAACAGGGATGGAGGGGTTTGTCATAAGACAACCTCTGTGACAGTACGGCTCCCACACCTGACTCTGAGGCGTCTACTTCCATAACAAAGGGAAGAGAAGGATCAGGGTGGTGCAGCACTGGAGCAGAGGCAAATGCCTTCTTGAGGGTTTCGAAGGCCTTAAGGGCTTCAGGAGTCCAAACCCTAGGATGTAGACCTTTTTTTGTCAACTTCGTTATGGGAGATATGAGTGGTGAAAAGTTTTTATAAATTTCCTATAATAGTTGGCAAATCCTATAAAACGCTGGATAGCCTTTAGTCCTTGGGGAAGTGGCCAGGACATTATAGCTTCCAATTTAGCAGGATCCATACTGAAACCCTGTTCAGTAATGATATATCCTAGGAATTGCACAGAGGTCTGATCGAATAAATATTTTTCTAACTTACAGTAGAGTCCGTTCTGCAATAGCCTTTTGAGCACCATCCTAACATGGTTATGGTGTGACTTCAAATCAGGAGAATACACAAGTATGTCGTCAAGGTATACTACAGCACAGACATGCAATAGATCCCTAAGGACATCATTTATGAGGTCCTGAAACACGGCAGGAGCATTACACAATCCAAAAGGCATGACCAGATATTCGTAATGCCCACTGCGTGTGTTGAAGGCTGTCTTCCACTCGTCATTCTCCTTTATACGGACAAGGTTATAAGCCCCCCTGAGATCTAATTTGGTGAAAAATTTAGAACCTTTAACACGATCAAACAACTCAGTGATGAGGGGGATAGGGTAGGCGTTTTTAACCATTATATTGTTCAGACCCCTGTAGTCTATACATGGCCTCAAATCACCCTCCTTCTTAGCCACAAAAAAGAAACCAGCACCAGCAGGAGAGGAGGACCTTCTAATAAAACCTTTTCTTAGGGATTCCTGTATGTACTCCTCCATGATTTGGTTCTCTTTTTCAGAAAGAGGGTAGACCTTTCCCCTAGGAGGCATAGTGCACGGTAAGAGGTTTATGGCACAATCATACTCACGATGTGGAGGTAGCTTATCTGCCTCCCTCTTCTCAAAAACCAAGGCAAGATCCGCATAAACAGAGGGCACAGAAACCGAGAGTGGTTTAGCCGTGAGTACGTTAAGTAAACAGACAGGATGTACATGAGCCACACAGTCTCGCTGACAAGATTCCCCCCAGGAAAGTATGTCTAAACAACCCCAATCAAGAACAGGGTTGTGTTTAACCAACCAGGGAAAACCTAGAACGATGGAGGCTGTTGGGGAGTTAATTATTTGGAAGGTTAACTTCTCTTTGTGCAAAACACCCACAGACATAACTATTTCCTGGGTTTCATGGGTCACCAGAGGTTTTTCCAGTGGTCTACCATCTATGGCCTCAACGGCCAAGGGTGTCTCCTTTCGGATCAAATTCAGGGCTGCGGTTTTGGCAAAGGTCTCATCCATAAGGTTGTCTGCCGCACCTGAATCGATCAGGGCTTTGGTTGTTATAGTGGTTTTATTGACCAAGAGAGAAACCGTAATAAACGGTCTAGAGATGGACATATGAGGGGACAAAGTCATAACACCCGAGGCCGACCCCTCTCTAGGCCTTAGGTGCTGCAGTTTCCCTGTAGTTTAGGGTAGGCTTTACAGTGATGCCCCCTCTTCCCACAATAAAGGCATAACCCCTCCCTTCTACGGTACGCTCTTTCGGCCTCAGTTAACCCTGTAGCACCCAACTGCATGGGTTCAGGGGATGGCTGCACAGGAGCGGGTAACGCTAGCAGGGAAGTACTGGGTAGAGCAGGTAACACCCGTGTATCCAACCGTCTTTGGCTACGCCTCTCTCTAATACGGTTATCTATAAGAATCACATAGTCTATAACATCATCTAGAAGAGCAGGTAATTCCCTGGATGCTATTTCATCCAGTATATAAGCGGCCAGACCCTCCTGAAAGGCTGTTACGAGGGCGTCATTATTCCAAACCACTTCAGCTGCTAGAGTACGAAATTCGATAGTGTAATCTGCTACAGACCTGTTACCCTGTCGGACCCTAAGCAGAGCCTTGCCAGCAGAAGCAACCCTACCGGGTTGATCAAACGTGCGTCTGAAAGCTGTCAGAAAATCAGCAAAGGACATAGGAGACGTATTTTCCCAAATGGGGTTGGCCCATGCTAAAGCTCTCCCGGACAAGTGGTTTATCAAAAAGGCAATTTTAGATCTGTCAGTGGGATAGGAGCGTGGATTCATCACCAAATGGATGTCGATTTGGTTGAGGAAACCACGACACAATGCTGGGTCACCACTGTAGCGCTGTGGCGGCGTCATGTGAACTACATGAGCGGGAACAGGTACTGGAGTGGGAATGGGTTCGGGCACAGCAGCAGCAGCCTCCTGAACGGCCGGTTGCAAGTGTGCAGTACGAGCCAGAATGGTTTGTAAAGCTTGAGCAAACTGATCCATACGGTGGTCTAAGCCATCCATTCTAGCCTCTTGATTAACTAGAAGCTGTGGCATGTCAGCAGGTTCCATTATGGCCCTGTTGTAATGTCACGATTCGGGGAACCAAACACGCCAACACACACAGACACACACAAAGTGCCGTACCGGACCTTAGAGTGGCCGGGCTAAGCACACAAAGAATAGTCAGGAAACAAGCCGAGTAAGGGGAACCAGAAGACAGAATAACGTGAAACAAGCCGAGGTCAAAGGGTAGGAGAAAGTCACAGAGTCGGATAACAAGCCAGAGAGTATGTAACCAGAAGCACAAGTTCAGAATCAATACTAACAAGCAAAGACCACAACAGGGCAAGGAGGAACAGGAAAGGTAAGTATTTAAACCATCAGGTTAATTCTGATTGGATGATTTCCAATCAGAATTAACAATCACACGTGGGAGATATTTAGACCTCCCACTGTGATTGTGGCACTTTGCCTTTAACGCCGGGTCAGGTGACTGAACCCCGGCGTGTATAACCCTGGGCGGTCTCCCAGCGTGCAGCGTCATGCATGCTGCCGCTGGGGGACGTGGAGGGAACGGCGGGCGGCATCCGAGGCTGGAAGGATGCCGCTCGCCGTACCCACGAGGTGGAGGGGACCGCAGACGGCTGGAGGGTGAGTACTGCGAGCGGAGTGCAGCCTCCCCTCGCAGCCGTCCGCGGGAGCCTGACAGTAAGAAACACTATGGAACAGTTTGTTCAGAATATTTTTTTTTCTGGGTTTCCTCCTCTAAAAACTAGGTGCGTCTTATGGTGAGGTGCGTCTTATGGAGCGAAAAATACGGTACTTCTAATTGTGCCATGTTCTTAGTGAGTGTGATTTATCTTTTTTTAATGAAATTAGTTGTCAATAAATTACTAAGAAAACAGAACAGGTAGACTGAAAGTACTTCTAGGAGTTCTTCTAATTATGCTATGTTTTTTGTGAGTGTGATTTTAACTTTCTTATGAAATTAGTTGTTGTCAATAAATTACTATACTATGATTATATTTTTTTCTTTTTCTCCCATTTATATGCATTTATCATCTGAGTGGTAATTATTGTGGTGCCCTATTTTTTATATATATGTGTGATTATACATTGTACACCTATGACCTCTTGGACATAGCAATGGAGAAGCAAGAGATATGTAATATAATATAGGAGGTGGATTCAGCTATCAGCCATAGGCATGCACAGCCTATTGCATAAGGGTGTGCACCCTAGATCACATACACACATGCGGCACACTGCTGTGTGTGTGTGTGTGAGGGTGCTGTGTGTGGGTGCTGTGTGTGTGGGCGCTGTGTGTGAGTGTGTGAGGGCATTGTGTGTATGTGTGTGAGGGCGCTGTGTATGTGTGTTTGTGAGAGTGGTGTGTGTGTGTAAGGGTGCTGTGTGTGTGAGGGTGCTGTTAGTGTGTGTGTGTGTGTCTATGTGTAGGGTGCTGTGTGTGAGGCCACTGTGTATGTGGAGGGTGCTGTTAGTGTGTGTGTGTGTGTGTGTGTGTGTGTGTGTGGGTGCTGTGTGTGTGAGGGTGCTGTGTGTGTGAGGGGGCACTGTGTGTGTTTTAGAGGGTGTGTGTGTGTGTGGGTGCTGGGTAAGTGAGGGAGCTGTTTGTGTGAGGGAGCTGTGTGTGCTTGTGTAAGGGTGCTATGTGTGTGGGGGGATGCTGTTAGTGTGTGTGTGTGTGATGTGTGTGTAAGGGTGCTGTGTGTGTGAGGGTGCTGTTAGTGTGTGTGTGTGTGCTGTGTGTGTTTATGTGTAAGGGTGCTGTGTGTGTAAGGGTGCTGTTAGTGTGTGTGCTGTGTGTGTATGTGTAAGGTTGCTGTGTGTGTAAGGGTGATGTATGTGTGAGGGTGCTGTATGTATGAGGGTGTTAGTGTGAGGGTTCTGTTAGTGTGTATGTGTGTGTGCTGTGTGTGAGTGTGTGTGTAAGGGTGCTGTGTGTGTGAGGATGCTGTATGTGTGAGGGTGCTGTTAGTGTGAGGGTGGTGTTAGTGTGAGGGTGCAGTTAGTGTGTGTGTGTGCTGTGTGTGTGTGTATGTGTACGGGTGCTGTGTGTGAGGGTGCTGTTTGTGTAAATTTGTTTGGAGGGACTGTGGGGGTGGAGGGGCTCGTTTAGGAATAGCCCCCCTCCCTTCTTAACCTTTTATAGAGAGAGGGGCCATGCTGCTGCCATCCCTGGTGATCCAGTTTGAGTGAACTCTAGCCTGCGAGCCTAGAGTTCACTCTCGCGAGATCTGAGCATTGCCGTGGCTGCAAAGCTGCTGGCTAGAGCTCCCCGGATCCTCTCCTGCCTCCCTCCCTGCCTCTTTGATCTCTCTCACTGGCCCATGGAGGCACATAGCATGGACCACGGGGATTAGGGTGCTCCCAGGCACACCCGGCACACCCCATGCGCATGCCTATGCTAAAATCACAAAAAATCCTAAAATCCTAAGATCTACATTTGAGCCTCAAGATGTCTGTTAGCTACCACACTACATTCAAATCCTTGCTTGGCTTTTTAATTAATAGGTTTAGTTCATTCCTTGTATATATCCAACAGCCCTAGCCCTGCCTACATTAAGTCTGCATTTGATCTAGATAATGCAGTCAGATATATATTTCTATCAATTTTCTAGGATTCAATAATTATTATTATTATTATTATTATGTAATTATTTATATAGCGCCATCAAATTCCGCAGCGCTTTACAATGGGTGGACGGACAGACATGTAGTTGTAACCAGACAAGTTGGACACACAGGAACAGAGGGGTTGAGGGCCCTGCTCAATGAGCTTACATGCTAGAGGGAGTGGGGTAAAGTGACACAAAAGTTATGTATAGTATTAGACTAGTGATAGTTGCAAGAGAGGAATCAGTTGGGAGCTATTAACAGTTTAATTGATATGCTTTTATGAAGAAGTGGGTTTTTAATGATTTGGATGATAGATGGAGAACAGTAGGGGACCAAGGACTGAACCTTGGGGGTCACCAACAGAGAGGAGTTGGGGAGAAGAAGCAGAGCCCGAGAAAGAAACACTGAAAGAGCATTGGAAGAGGTCTGGAGGAGCACCAGGAGAGAGCATTATCATGTAGACCGATATTGCGGAAGATGAGGTGTGGATGATCAACAGTGTCAAAAGCCGCAGACAGGTCAAGTAGAATTAGGATAGAGTAGTGACCACGAGATTTTGCAGTGAGTAGATCATTGGATACTTTGGTCAGTGCTGTTTCCACAGAGTGCTTAGTGCAGAAACCAAACTGGAATGGTTCTAGCAGAGAGTTGGACTCAAGGAAGTCTGTCAATCTCGCATACACAACTCTTTCAAGGATCTTGGATGCAAAAGGCAGTAGCAAGATAGGACGGTAGTTGGATGGGGAGTTAGGGTCAAGGTTGGGCTTCTTTAGAATTGTGGTTACAGTTGCGTGTTTAAAGGGCGATGGAAATATGCCAGAGAGAGAGATTGAGAATTTTAGTGAGAGGTGGAGAAAGAGAAGAAGACAGAGTATGGATGAGATGCGAGGGAATTGGATCTAGGGAGCAGGTGGTGGGTCGGGAGAACTAGAGCAGAAACCTCATACAATGTAGCAGGTGCGAATAAACATAGAACAGCAGAGGGAGTGAAGTTAGGGGAAGTATTGTAAGAGGAAGAAGAAAGATGAGAGATCTCTTCCCTAATTGTCAGTGAAGTGAGTTGCAAAGTCTGAGGCAGTCAAGTTAGAAAGTGGAGGAGGAACAATAGGGCAAAGAAATGAGTTAAAGGAACATTTACTCTAGCTAAATAAAGCCGTTTTAGTGTATAGATCATTCCCCTATTTCTGTTTCTGCAGCCCTAGCCACACCTCCCCTGGCTATGATTGACAGAGCCTGCATGAAAATAAAAACTGGTTTCACTTTCAAACAGATGTAATTTACCTTAAATAATTGTATCTCAATCTCTAAATTTAACTTTAATCACATACAGGAGGCTCTTGCAGGGTCTAGCAAGCTGTTAACATAGCAGGGGATAAGAAAATCTTAATTAAACAGAACTTGCAATAAAGGAAGCCTAAATAGGGCTTTCTTTACAGGAAGTATTTATGGAAGGCTGTGCAAGTCACATGCAGGGAGGTGTGACTAGGGTTCATAAACAAAGGGATTTAACTCCTAAATGGCAGAGGATTGCACAGGGAGGCTGCAGGGGCATGTTCTATACACCAAAACTGCTTCATTAAGTTAAAGTTGTTCAGGTGACTATAGTGTCCCTTTAAATGAAATAGTCGTTTGAGTTCGCAGGAGAGTGTGGTTATGAGGGTATTGAAGTAATTTACTTTTGCAGAGGAAAGAGCCAAGCTGTATGAGCTCAGCATAAATTTATAGTGGAGAAATTCAGACGCACAGTGAGACTCAGCAGTTCTGGAGCATTTTTGAAGGTATCGAGTCAGCTTGGTGTGCCAAGGTTGTTGTTGGGGGTGCCTGCGGCGTTTAAATGTAGAAGGTGCCTTGATGTCTAGTTGAGAGGAGAGGGTGAAATTGTAGAAGGAGGTTGCAGAACTAGGACAGGTGAGGTTTGAGATAGGTAAAAGAAGAGTTTGGAGATTAGTGGAGAAATGCTCTAGGTCAAGACATTGGAGGTTTCTGTGAGATTGATGTTCAGATGGTGGTGTCAATTGGGTCTTAGGTATGCCAATGTCAAAAGTCAGCAGATGGTGGTCAGATTGAGGAAAAGGAATATTGGAGAGATTAGAGGCAGTACAGAGGTTGGTGAAGGCGAGATCAAGAGTGTTTCCCGCTGTATGGGTTGCTAAATTGGACCATTGCATAAGGCCAAAAGAGGAGGTTACAGACAGCATACGAGAAGCATCAGTGCAATTGGGTTTGTTGATTGGGATATTGAAATCCCCAAGTATAAGGGAACGAATGCTAGATGAGAGGAAGGGGGAAGCCAGGAAGAAAAGTGCTCAATGAATAGTCTAGGATAACCAGGGGGGGTAGATGAAATCAATTCTTAAAGGAGTGGATTTAAATAGGCGGACAGTGTGAATTAGTTGAATTAGTTGAAAGGTACATCGAGGGGAAAGAAGGATTCCTACACCACCTCCTTTATAGTTTAGTCTGGGAGTGTGAGAGAATTGTAATCAACCAAAACATAAAGAGGCAGAGGTAGCGCTATCAGAGGGGGACAGCCAGGTCTCTGTAAGTGCAAGCAGTGTGAGCGAGTTTGAGATGAAAAAGTCGTGTATGGTTGTTGATTTTAAATTACTGCAGATGGAGCAGGCATTCCAGGGGACACACTGAATGTTGTTACGTGAGGGTATAGGGCAGGGTATGGTGATGAACAGTGGATTACATAC